TGATGGTCTATATGAGGGATTAATCTGACACCAGACAGTGATTCTTAATCCTTCAGTATATCATAATCTATTTACTTTGCATGCTAAGAGGATTTCAGCTTAAAAATATACAGGAAGTGATACTAGAAATGTACATAAGATCCAGAATGCCGTTTCCTAAAATTGCAGTTTTTCATAAAAAAAAAAAATCCTCATGGCTTTCTTGGAAAAGTCCTGTCTGTCCTGGAAAAAAAAGAAGTGTTGAATAGGGGTTTAACTAGAAACTGGCATATGTTTTCCTTTAGGCTTCAGCCCTCTGACCATTTTCACCCTCCTCCTTCCCTGCAGCTTTTTGTGCTCGACCATACGACATGAAAGAAGAGCTCTCCAGTATAGCAGGTTCCTTGGCTGGGAGTTACACCGGCAGGTTTTTATTGACAAATCCAAAACAGGTTTGGAACCAATGTGGGATTTTATGTGCATTAATTGCTACTCAAAGTGCATGAATTAGCAGTGACTGGCTAATGTAGAGGTCAGCACAGTGAAAACCACAAATGGTCGGGTGCGATGGCTCCTTATTCAGCTGTAATCATCTGTTTTCTTTACGCCCTGCCAGAAAGGCTGTCTACAAAATAACTGCAGTAAGTTGTGTTAGTGGGTACATCTCCTGAAACTTATAATTTGTAATTTTTTAATAATTTAATTCATGCTCGTCCATAACACTGCATCCCCAAAGCACATCCTGCACCCGCACCGGCAGTCGGCCACTCCAGCCAGCAGGAGCCCTGCCCAGCCTCTGCCCACCTCTGCATGGCCGGGTACCGCTAAGGGCGGTCAAATCATCACCTGTCACAGCTCCCGACCACATGCGGAAGGTTTAAAAGCAAAGCTTTCCAAGCAGGGACTCTACTCAGAGCAAGTACTCTGATAACAGCAAATAGATCATAAATTATTTCAGGTCTGTGAAGCACCAAGCATAAAAAATAACGACAGCCCAAGCTAGGTAGTATTCTCCCCCTTTGCCCCTCTTCCCCACCCCCAAATCCTGGCCCTTGACTTACAGGCAGGAAAGCACCACGTGCCTTTGGAGCAGGCACCTATGTGCGGAGGCAGCTGCCGGCTCCAGGACGAGAGACAGGAGCTTCACTGGGCTTGTGGTGGGTAAACCGGCATCTTGGCACCACGGCACCAGCCCCTGGGCTGCTGGTGTGCTCAGTGCAGCACCATGATGCAGCAGCAAATGCTATTTAAAAATGCATAATACTAATCATAGCCGTGCACCCAACAGCCTTCTCGCTTGGGACGTGAGGCACCCGAGACTCCCAGGTGGCTGTTTCACAGCTGGGCTGCCCAAAAAAGCCCCCCGATCCTGCCGGCGCCTGCTCCTGGAGCTGGGCACCAGACAGCGAGTGCCGCCGCGGCGTGCTGCTTTACCTGCCAAGACTTGTGCTCGGGACGGCAGCGCCTGTTCGAGCCTCGGGGAAGCCCACGGTGGGAGATGTTTGCTCGGCCGCCCAAGCCCCAGCAGTGTGGGCGTGCTGCTAGCAAAATGGGAAGGGTGCTGGGCCCCCTCCCCTCAAACCCAGGCACGACCCTCCCTGGCCCACGCTCACCCACCAACGGGCACAAGTTGCGTCTTGCCCACACTGCTGGCACCAACCCACAGATGGCAGAGGGAGGACGAGGCCTGACCACGCTCGGCTCACCGGCAGGCATTGCACTGGTTAGTCACCCCGCTGTTTTTCCAGGGGGTTCTACACGATATAAGAAAAAATATAAGCAATTTTAGCTGTTTTCCAGCAAACCGGCTGTTCCTGCTCGTAGTCGTGCTTGTCAACCTTCAAAGAAACACCAAGGCTAGGAGAAATGCAACAAAAAAAAAAAAAAAAAAGAAACCAGGCATTGAGGGCAAAGCCATTATTTGATGTGATCTGGAATCGGTCTCCTCTGCGCCCCTGCCGCCAGCTGAGCTCAGCGACCGGCCCCACTGCCGTACTCCAGGTCTGCACGAGCAGGACAAGAAAAATGCCCAAATTGTGGTGTGGGGGATGCTGGAGAAGCCACTGGGCTGTGGCACCAGGTGCTGCTGGGTGCCCAAATAGGGGGGGATTCCCCTGGGGGACACGAGCACCCAAACCCCGAAGCAGACCCCAGGCCCAGCCACGCTGTGGGGTGCTGGATGAAGAGGTTTAGGACCGTGTCACCAAACCCAAAATTCAGCTCCTATCCTGGCTGTGTCTCTCAGCATCGCTGATTTACTGAGTTACTATGAAACACAATTTTTAAGGCAGATGAAGTGTGTGTAATTTTTGTTTACAGAAGATGAAGCGGGGGGGGGGGTTTATATATTTGCTGTCTCTTGTCGCTCATGTGGTCACTAACTCTGGGAGGCCAACTTCAGTTCACTTCATGCCCAGCACAGATTTTTTCTTTTTTTTTTTTTTTTTTTACAGCTCCAGGAGGGCTGTGATAACTTTTTCCCTTTAAAAGAAGGGCTTGGGGATGCACAGGCTGGTAGCACCCAGACCCAGCATGCATGGTCCTCCCTCAAACTGCCTGTACAGCCACCCTTCGGTGTGATGAGTGCTTTACTAGTACTTGCAGAAGAGAACAATTATTTCATATGGATAGATGTATTTAAAAAACACTTAAATATATGTGTGTGTGTGTGTGTGTGTGTATATATATATATATATATATGCACTGAAGGAGACAAGAAGAAGAACTGTTGAAAGAAAAAAATCCCCTAAAATCAACTCAGCTGCACCCATCCCCTCCCATGTCTCCCTGCTGCACCATGTGGGTGCTGGAGGCCATCGCCCCCCCCCCGCCTCGGGGCTGTGCCATGTGGCCGTGACCCTGGAAGGATGCACGGGGCTTGAGCCAGTGGTACCTGGGGCTGACCCTGCTGGTTTTCCCACCGCAGCCCATTTCCCAGCAGCTGTGACAGCACATTGCCAGCCCCATTTGCACCCTACTGGGATGCAAACCTTCCCCAAAGTGGCTGCCCGGAGCACGCCGGTGCCTCGACACCTCTCACCCCCCCCCCATGGTCTCCGCTGCCCCAGGGGTGCCTGGGGACACCAGGGGTGGGGGCCATACGGCACAGCCCCAGAGCTCCCGGCTGCAGCGGGCACTACTGCAAGATCACAGGGAAGAGGATGGGAATTTGGGGATGCTCCCCCCAGTGCATCAATGGCGCAAGCAGGGCAGCAGTGAGTTCCCTTGGCCCCAGTCCCGTGGGAGTGGGAACGGCCCCAGAACCAGTGGGCAGCCTCCAAAAACTGCGGGGAAGGTCTGGGAAAAAAAAAAAAAAAAAGAGGGGGACATTGTCACAAGAAATAATTGATCCCACCCTTCCCCAGCTGGCTCGTAGCCAGCAGCGGCTGAGGATGGAAACGCTGGGAGCCAGGGCTGGAAGCACGGATGGGTGCTGAGCATCCTGACCAGCACCTGCCTGCACAGTGGGGCAGAGGTCTGTCTGCGTGGCTTTATGTCTGAGTGGCCCTTGCACCCCACCACCACCCGTGGGTCCGGAGTCTGTGGGGCTGCCCCACCAGGTGTGGGGGGGTGTCGCTGTTTCAGACAGCGTTTGCCCATCCTATGGGTCCCACTGGCACCGCAGTGCAGCAATAAATCAGTAACCAATTAAGAGCGTCAATTAACATAAAAGCAGGTCCCCAGCCCACACCCACAGAGGCAGCAGTGGGTCTCCCCCCTCCAGAGCATTCGTGAACTCATCACACACCCACCCCATCCTGCTAGTAACCCCCAGGAAGTATTTCCCAGTGCCTCGCTCCCCCCAAGGAAGTTTCCTGGGGAAGAGGAGGCGGGGGGGGGGGAGGAAGGAGGACAAAACACCACGTTTATTAGTTTGGATTTTATTGGGGTGGGGGAAAAGAGGGGGGGGTTGCCTTACAGTTGAAGGGGTAAGCGTGGGGTTACGGCATCAAAAATCACACGTACATGATCCCTCTCCCCCTGCGGGGCAAAGCTGCTGGAAAGCACCAGCCTGGGTCGGGTAAGGCAGCCAGGCACACAGGGCTGCAGCCCGGACCTGCAAAAACACACCAACCGACAGAAGGGACTAAAAAAAAAACAAACCCAAAACAAAACCCACCAAACCAAAAAACACACCCCCAAAAAGTCATGCCCCCCAACCCCAAAGCAGAGCTGCTTCCCCCTGCAACCCTCCCCCCAAAAAATAAACCAAAACTTTTTTTTTCTGCTTTTTTTCTTTCCTTTTTATTATTTTTTAAATTTTTTTCCAAAAGTTTTGGTTTTTTTGGTCTGCAGGTTGCGGATCAGCTGGGCAGCACTTCCCTCCCCCTTTGCCTCCCCTCTGGGCACCCCCCTGGGCTGCTGCCCACCCCCCAGCCCCAGGACGGCGCGACCGAGCTTGCGCAGAGGACGGACAGAGGACGCGAGACGGGGAGAGATTTGTTTTTAGGGAAGAAAATTAAAATAAAATTTTTTTTTTTTTTTAAGTTCTGTTCCATGTTAGACTCTAGATAAATGCCAACCCAACAGCATCAACTAAAAATAATCACGGTCACTGGAACGGACCTAGTATTTACATCGTTCCCGCTGCTCCCAGCAGCAAGAGGCTGTACAGGACCGGCAAGCCGGGGGCTCCTGCACCCGGGGTGGGGGGTGAGGCCCCCCCGCATGAAGTGGAGGGGGCACCAGCAGGGCAGGAGCCAGCCTGCGCCTCTGCCCAGGGTGGCAGCAGGGGGGGCGCTAGGCTTTTTATTTTATTTTATTTTTTTTTTAAACTCCTCTTCTGTTGTGTTTAAAAAAATAATAATTATAATAAACCCACTGGAGGGGTGCAGGAAGCAAATAAATATCAGTCAGTAGAGATGGGGGTGGCAGGACCCCTCCCGGGGCATCGCCATTGCTAATGAATAGGGGGGAGGAGGAGGAGGAGGAAGAGCCGGAGCCAGAGTCCTGCCCGAGAGGCGGCGGGGAGACCCCGGGTGGGGGGTACGTGGCGACTTGGGGGAACGGTGGTCGGCCCCTCACAAGACCTGGAAGCGCCAGGACGCCTGGTCCTTGTAGTCGAGGCAGTCAGGGGAGTTGAAGTTGAGCTTCCAGGAGGCGGCGGCGGCAGCGGCAGGCTCCTTGTAGTCCAGGCAGTCAGAGGAGTTGAAGGGCAGCCCGGTGCCGCCGTAACCCTGATGGTGGTGGTGGTGGTGGTGATGGTGATGGTGGCCAGAGCTCTGGCTCAGCGGGTGGTGGTGGTGGTGGCCGGGCACCGAGGAGGGCCCCATGGGGCTGAGCTGGTGAGGATGGTGGTGGGAGTGCATGGGCGCCAGGTAGGAGCTGCAATCCACGCCCCCGAAATAGGACGAGGAGGGTGGCGCGGGGTAACCCTGCCCGTACCCCCCGCCTTGGCCGTAGGAGACGGGGTAGCTGGCGGAGGCGGCGGCGGCGGCGGGGCCGGCCGTTTGCGTGCGGGCCGGGGGGCCCGGTGGCGGGGGCTCAGGCACCGTCACCCCTGCCGGTGCCGCGCCAGGAGAGATCGAAGCCGGGCTCCAGATGGACGACGCCGGGGTGCTGAGAGAAGCCGGGGCGCCCGCCGGGGCCGACGAGGCTGAGCTGGAGGAGGAAGAAGAGGCCGAGCTGGAGGCCGCTGCCGGTGGCGTGAACTGCCCGCTGCTCTCCGAACCCGAGCTCTCGCGAGCCGGCGAGGATTTCTTCTTGGCCGGACGGCTCTTAGCCCCGCCGCCGCTCTGCTGCTGCTGCCGGCACTTGGCACGGCGGTTCTTGAACCAGACCTGGAGTGAGAAAATGGTGTGCACGGGGATGAGCAGCGGGGTGAGGAGGGGCGGCGGGGCGAGCGAGGGCCCCAAAGCCCTTCCGCTCGTCCCGCCACCCCTCCTCACCGCGGGAGCACCCAACCAACCTCACCCCGGCACCAGTTCTCCCAGCACCCACGCCCAGCCATTAGCACTGCACACCCCCGCACACCGTAAAAAAACCTGCCCCGCCTGGCACCCGGGCCACCCTGCATCCCACCCCAAGCAAGGATGCCCAGGGCCAGTGTCTGGGGTGTCCCCGGCTCGTGCATGTCCCCGGCGCAGTGACAAAACATGGGTTTGGGGGACAGATCCTACATGGGGTGCTGCCTGCATATCCCACCCCGCTGGGCATCATCATCCGGGGAGCAGCGCCGGAGGGAGCACCCCTGGGAAATCTCCAGCTAGCGGGGCCGCTATACCCTGGGGCAGGTGGAAAGGGACAGAAAAATATTAAAAAAAATAAAATTAATGAAAGAGGATAAAAAAGAAAAATAAAAGCCCCCCCTTTGCCTGGATGCCCCCACGGCGGGACGGACAAATGGCCGGGAGCCTGTGCGCATCCCAGCCCCGAGGAAACAGGGATGAGCGTGGATGGAGGACCGGGTCCGAGCGGCGCCAGCCGAGCCGGGGTGCCCCCGCATCCCCCCAACCCACAGCGGCGCGGGATCCCCCCCC